ATCGGAAGATTCTTGTCAACATCCACAGAATGCATCGTCCAAGAAATCTTCGTAAACTAGAACAAAAAGAGATTTAAGTTGCGTTATGTGATCTTTATGATTAAGATTTAATTAATTCTTGAATTACTTTATCGATTTTAGGATTGAAATGTTTTAGATTGTTTATATCTTATTGTAGAATTTTAAGTGTCTTATTTTAGTTATTTTATTCACTTGTTATTATTTATGTGAGGTTGACGATTTTGAAGCTGACTTAACTTCAAAGCCATGCTTTAAAGTCTTGTTGTGTTTGATTTGGTTTAATTTTAAGTTTTAATATGTTTTATGTAAATTCTACCCATCTCAATGTGTTTTATTTTATTTTTTAATTGACGTTCAAGTTGAGGGGTTTAGGTTTAACTTAGGTTTAAGGTCATACCTAAAATATTCTCCTATGTTCAACTTATGGGCTAGATTCTAACCTAAGGTTTAGGGTGGGTTTAACTTAAGATTAAGCTATGATTTAGGTTTGTTTCACCTAAAGATCAGGGTTGGATTAGGGTTAATTTACCTAAGATTTAGGTTAACTAATCCTATGATTTAGGTTAATTAATCCTCCTATTGGTTTAGGGTTAACTAACCTAAGATTTAGGTTAACTAATCTTATTGGTTTATGGTTAACTAATATTAACTAACCTATGGTTTAGGTTAACTAATCATATTGGTTTAAGGTTAACTAACATAAGATTTAAGTTAACTAATCCTATTGATTTAAGTTTAACTAACCTAAAGTTTACGTTAACTAATCCTATTGGTTTAGAGTTAACTAACATAAGGTTTATGTTAACTAATCCTATTGGTTTAGGTTTAACTAACCTAAGGTTTATGTTAAGTAATTCTATTGGTTTAGGGTTAACTAACCTCAGGTTTAGGTTGACTAATCGTATTGGTTTAGGTTTAACTAACATGAGGTTTAGGTTAATTAATCCTTTTGGTTTAGGATTAACTAACCTTAGATTTAGGTTAACTAATCTTATTGGTTTAGGGTTAACTAACCTAATGTTTACTAATCCTATTGATTTAGGTTTAACTAACCTAAGGTTTAGGTTAACTAATCATATTGGTTTAAATTTAACTAACTTAAGGTATGTACATATATACATATGTATGTAGATATATACATATACATCTATATATCTATATATGTATATGTATACATATACATATATAGATATATAGATGTATATGTATATATCTACATACATATGTATATATGTAC